GCCCAGCCAGTGTGGCTCAGCAGTTGAGCATCGAACCTATGATCCAGGAGATCCAGGTTAGAATTCCAGTCAGGGCACATGCCCGGGGTTGCAGGCTCCATCCCCAGCAGGGGGCGTGCAGGAGGCAACCAATAGATGACTCTCTCATCATTGATGTTTCTACCTTTCTCTCCCTCTCCTTTCCTCTCTGAAATCAATAAAAATATATTTTAAAAAAACAATATCCTTAAAGGGACATTGGGAAAAGTGGGCACATTGGACTATATAAAAGGAAAAATACTCTGTATGGAGAGAGAAAAATATAAACAAAGTTAAAAAAGAAACTGGAAGAAAAATATTTGCCACAAACAGCAGGCAAAGGGTTATCATCACTACACCTCCAAATTCTTTCTCACCCTCTTCTGCCTTTTTTAAAAAATATGTCTTTATTGACTTCAGAGAGGAAGGAGAGACAGAATCATCAATGAGAGTCATTGATCGGCGGCCTCCTGCATGCCCCCTGCTGGGGATTGAGCCTGCAACCCGGGCATGTGCCCTGATCAGCACTTGAACTCAGGACCTCTTAGTTCGTGGGTCGATGCTCAACCACTAAGCAACACCAGCCAGACACACCTTTTTCTTTTTAAAGCCAGTCAACCCAAGAGAAAAATAAGTCAAAGGAATTATAGGAACTCACAGTGTACCAATGGCCAAGACATTTGCAATGATACACAAAGCCATGCAAATTAAAATGCTCATTAATGAGATACCTGTCTTGAAAAAGTCTTTAAAAAGCAAAGTCCAATACACTTCTGGTGGAACTGTAACTTAACATATAACTTTTAAATACTATATAACTTCAATTCACTTGTATACAGTTGTGGGCCTGCAAATGTTTAGTAACTGGCACTCTAGAAAAAGGGGAAGAGGGCTGACTTGTAGCATTTGCCAATTTCCATGATGTAAATATTGCCATCGTGATTGATTTCAGGCTATCAATATGCTATCACTGAATGGGAAATTAGGAAGAGATGCATAGTAGCTACTATTGTGTTGTATTTCTATTGTCCAGATACAAGAGATGTGAACAGGTAACAGTAAAACGTAGTAACATAATTAGAAAGCAATGAATTTTCAGTATTTATTAGCTTTGTTTTTAACATGACCTATTTATTTGTAAATTAACATAATTTAATTTTTAATAGTGGTTGTTTAACAATCAGCTCTCAGAATTCCTGAAAATTTAACATGAGACCATCTAAGCAGCCTCTAGCACACCACTGGTCGTATCCTTTACATCCAAAACATGCAAATTCTCTAACCCTGCAATCCTGCTTCTGGAAATTTATCCTACAGAAAATAGTGGCACACATATACAAAGATGTTATGTATAGTGATGTTCTTTGCAGAACTGATTATTAGAGCAAAGAAATAATAAGAGAGACGTTAAGTAAATTACGGTAGAATCACGAGACCACTAAATAGCCATGTCAGAGAATGCAGTCAGCCTTTGGGCATAGACACGAACAATGCCAAACATTCACGTAACAGCATGCTGCAGGTCAGTGTGTAGAGTATAAATCAATTTTTTTTAAAAAGATGTTTTTATTGACTTCAGAGAGGGAGGGAGAGGGAGAAAGAGAAACACCAATGATGAGAGTCATTGATCAGCTGCCTCCTGCACAACCCCTGCTGGGGATGGAGCCCGCAACCAGGGCATGTGCCCTGACCGGGAATCAAACTGCAATATCCTGAATCTTAGGTCAATGCTTAACCGCTAAGCCAAGCTGACCAGGCAAATCAATTTTTATATTTATATAATCACAAGAAAACTTGAAAACAATACACACTAAATGTTTTTGTTTTTTTAAAATATATCTTTATTGATTTCAGAGAGAGAGGGAGAAGGAGAGAGAGATAGAAACATCAATGATGAGAGTNTTATTGATTTCAGAGAGAGAGGGAGAAGGAGAGAGAGATAGAAACATCAATGATGAGAGAGTCATTGATCGGCTGCAGCCTGCAACCCGGGCATGTGCCCTGACTGGAAATTGAACCCTGATCGCCTGGATCCTAGGTCGATGCTCAACCGCTGAGCCACACCCGGCCGGGCCACACTAAATGTTGTAAGCAATTTTCCACCAGTACGGGACTAAAGGGACAGAGATGGCAATTGTCAACAAACTTTATATAATCACAGAAAAGGAAAGTGGTTGGGAATATGAGTGATTTTTCATTTGTTCGTATCTTTTTCATTTTTATGAATTTGCAGAAAACCTTGCCCTGAATATTTGTAGCTAAAACACTACAGACAAACATACAAACAGAATTGTTTCCTTGGGGGCTTTTTATAGAAGTGGAATTTCTGGGGTAATAGTGTGTTCCCATTGCTATGGCCTTTTTATATTACTACCCAAAGAGCCTTCCTTAAAGTTTCATCAGCAGGAGGCGAGTGCCTGCACCCCCACCACTATTCTCCATGGTTGGTAGCTTCCATTTATTTGATTACTTGCAAAGGTAAATATTGTTGGCTTTATCTCTACTCCTCTGTGTGAATTGTTCATTTGTGTCCTCTGCCCATTTCCTCCTGTGGTGTTGTCAGATTAACCCTTTTATAGACCTGTAGAAGACTGTCAATCCATTTTATACATTGAAATTACTGTCCATTTTTGGTCTTTATTTTGCGGGGGGAGGACCCTTCCTCCAGACATACCCAGCTCTTCCTTCAGGCCTCTGGGCCCTATCAACTGCTCCAAGACTTTGCCTCACCTGAGCTGCCATTTCTGACCTGGGAAAAGAGGCTACAGTTTCATTTATGGACAACTAAAAATGCTGGATAAAATGGTTTAAATCTTAAAAGCATCAAAGAGCAAATGAGATATAAGGTATTTTCAGGCCAAAAACCAAGTAAAGGTGAGAACACAGAGAGATCGTGATCACAGCACTGAAACTACATGGGCCCTGATGTTTTTGCCAAACTTTAGCAAACTTGAGCTGGGATTTTTTTCATGGGCTCATGGGTTAAAGGGGCCAATGTAAGGTGATGTGACTCTTGCCCATAAAGCTGGGGCCTCCCAAAGCAGTGGACTACACCCACTAGACAATTCCCTATTTCCCCCAAACTTGGGGGCTGGAAAAACAAAACAGAAAATAAAACCACCCTGGTGTTCAGCAGAAAAGAGAAAATAACTGATAACTTGAAACCACATGCTGACAATGTGACTTTGTAGCCCCAGTTCGTATCACCTGAGTGATCCCCCCCCAAATTTCTCAGGCTATGGATTTCATTTAAAATGATCCTTTGCCTGGCCAGCATGGCTCAGTGTTTGAGCATTGACCCATGAACCAGGTCACAGTTTGATTCCTGGTCAGGGCACATGCCCAGGCTGTGGCTCGATCCCCAGTAGGGGATGTGCAGGAGGCAGCCAATCAATGACTCTCTCTCATTACTGATGTTTCTCTCCCTTCCTCTCTCTGAAATCAATAAAAACATTAAAAAATTATTTTTAAAAAAATGGCCCTTGCCCTAGCCAATGTGGCTCAGCGGTTGGAACATAAGCCCTTGAACTGAAGGGTCCCGGCTTCGATTCTGGCCAAGGGCAGGTGCCTCGGTTGCAGGCTCGATCCCCGGCCCCAGTCAGGGTGGGTGCAGGAGGCAACCAGTCAATGTGTCTCTCTCACATCGATGTTTCTCTCCCTTCCACTCTCTGAAAATCAATGGAAAAAAAATCCTTCGGTAAGGATTAAAATAAATAAAAATAAATATAATTATCCTGGACTTCCCTCATAGATCCCAGGCACCTGGCAGAGGGAAAGAAATCCT